AAAACGATAAGTCCCTTGTTCGCCTATATATCTGTTGTAATAATTTTACTCAACAAGCAGACATTGTTAGTGCTCTACGTTTTCTCGTTCATACAACTAGTTTTCGGGTTCTAGTAGAGCATTAATGTCAAGTGGCTCTGTTTGTCCCGTGTAGCACGGGTAGAAAGCTACGCAGTGAAGACGATACAACAGCGCCATTGGCTGTCTAACACAGACATTAATATCGAACTCACTAACCACTGGTTTGTCTCGTCCCGATCTGGGGAGACGGTAGCTAACAACGCGAGTGAGTTGACTGGTACAGGTCTTCGTGCTGCATTGCCAAGTCATGGATTGACTTTCCCTGGAACGTCCCCAACCTATACCGGACGAGCGGGGGGGAGGATAGGGCAAACGGTCCGCCTGCGACAACCGTAGGGCTGATGATATGAGAAGACGCCCTGACGCATGTAGCCAGTGCGAGAAAATGCGGTGATTTCAGACAGGCACAGAAGGACTATTAGTATAGCGAATGAAACAATGGGGGGAAAACTTCGCGGATGTGACGGAAGGTGAGTGGCTGCTCACTTGTGGTTTAATATCTTCCGATGACGTCACTTGAGAAGCATGGGATAAGTTGAACACGCGTCCATCCGGGGTGATGGCCTGGATGACTATTGGGGGAGGGGGAGGATCGTACATATTCCCCGTCGGTGATATCTGCTCCGGTTTGAAACGTTGCTCTGCGTATTCCGACGGTAACGTCACATTTCTGGCTTGTAGTACGGTTTGCGTGCACACGGGCAAGTTCAATGGACGTAGGGTACTGGATGAAACAAGCGATCCCAAACGGTCGGGGAAGGTTACCACTTCAGTTTTTCCCCCGTTGGGTTGACTGTTCACGGGGGATGTTATGTGCAGACAGTCCACTGTAGAAGTAGCTATTACCGGGTTCTCTTGCTTTATAGGCTGCGAATAAGGGACCGGCTGCACTTGACTGTCCCCACCAACGAGGAACGAAGGTTGCAAAGTAGATGCAGATCTTGTATCCTCGTTGGATGTGGACAACAAAACCAACCTGACAGGTGCAGTCCCCATTGTACAGGTGTTGAGGTTGGTCTGAGGCTGGGTCAAGTACGCCACAGTCTGACCAGTTCTAGGAGTGATACCCGCCTGCAAAACAAAAAAAAACAGTTTGCAGTCCACTGTAGAAGTAGCTATTACCGGGTTCTCTTGCTTTATAGGCTGCGAATAAGGGACCGGCTGCACTTGACTGTCCCCACCAACGAGGAACGAAGGTTGCAAAGTAGATGCAGATCTTGTATCCTCGTTGGATGTGGACAACAAAACCAACCTGACAGGTGCAGTCCCCATTGTACAGGTGTTGAGGTTGGTCTGAGGCTGGGTCAAGTACGCCACAGTCTGACCAGTTCTAGGAGTGATACCCGCCTGCAAAACAAAAAACAAACAGTTTGTAGAGACCAGGAAACCGGATTCAAGGCCCTTGTGCAAGATCGGGAGCAAACACTGAGAAGACAGTTCAATCTATCGCTTATACATTACAGAACGCACCCTGGATGTGAGGTGAATGGACTTACTAGGTTGTTTGCTTTGACCAGCTGACCTTCAACCGAGGCCAGAATAGTTTGTTGCTGAGCTGGATGTAGTACCGGTTCTTTCTGGTAACGCTGCACTGTTTGGTTTGTCAAGCTTCTGTCAACACATACAGCCAGACCAGGGCCGGACAACACTGCCGCATTTCCGTTGGCGGTGGGTAGCAAGAACACGCGATTTGTACAGGGCTGTTGTTGTTGTTGTTGCTGTTGTATGGCCGCAAGTTGGGTAGACTTTCCGTCCGGCGAACTGAGTAGGACTAAGCCAGTTGCGGGATAAGATTGGGGGGTAGAGGAGAAGCACGAAGAAGGATTCCATATCACATTTGAAGTTGCCGTCCCGCCAGCTAGCTGATGCTGCAAATCGCTGGCCGTGAGACGGGTGTTTTGTGGGATTGCTTGTGGCAAACTGCCTCGAGCTAGACCCAACGTGAATTCACGGACGCTGATGGCGTTGTTTGTTTGTGCAGCAACAGTAGTACTTGGTAAAGAAGAGGGTGGCAGTAGGACAGTGCTGTTGGAGCAAGCAGTACTGGTGGAAGTGGTGGGCAGCAGCGAATATGTATTCCAACAGGATCTTGGGGATTCATCTGATGGCGACGGCGGTGGGTCGGCCCTCCTCGCNGAGCAAGCAGTACTGGTGGAAGTGGTGGGCAGCAGCGAATATGTATTCCAACAGGATCTTGGGGATTCATCTGATGGCGACGACGGTGGTTCGACGCTCTTCGCACTCATCTGCTCCATAACAGTGGTCGAATTGAGCCCCAAAATGCATGATAGTTTATTGAGCATGAGCTGACGTCGTTCGTCTAGTTCGTAGGCTAAATCCGACGGCAGTGCAGGCAAGGCCTGGGCTGCTCGTCGAGTGGCCAAAATGCAAGCTTTCCGTGCACTACTGGTAGCTGCCTGGGCGACACGAGGGAGATTGGGCCGCACCACTTTGTCGACAATGTTACGCATTAAAGCACCAATGCGGTTTTTACCCAGCGCGCCTACACTGTACCAAACAATATCGGGCCTGCTGTTCAACATCATTGGATAAGTCTAGAAAGTGGATAAGCGGGAAGACGTTATGAGATCGTGTGCATGAATCAAGAAGAGGAGAACTCAAATGATGTTCTAAACGGAGATAGGAGCTCGGCATAAGGCGTCACCATCACCATTGTCAGCTGTAAGAACCGCGTATTTGTCGTGCAGTAATTGTAGCTGCCACAGTTTCGTTCACCGATAATTCGGGGAGGTGGGGTAGATAGCTGCGTATTGGAGGTGGGAGCTGAAAAATTAGTGCATAAATACAGCACTGTCGGTTGGGGGAATCGCGAAGGAAGCTATGCATTGAAGGCAGTAGTTTGGATGCACGAGCGCCATTGAGAGGGCGACTGGGACATGTCTAACAATGTCTCTAACTCCACTGATGTGGCCCGTCTCTGGGTCCCCATCCAGGAAGACAGCAGGGACCATCGCAACTGAGTTTGCTGGTAATGGCTTTTATACTTTGCTGCCAAGTCATTGTTTGACCGCCTCTGGCTCGTTTGCACCCTTCACGTGGTTGTGCGAAAACAGCCCTTCGAGGAATTCGGTCGACTGGCATACGCAGCACGTGGCCCAGCCAGAGCGACCTGTGCAGTGTGATCAGTTCATCTATCGAGGGCGAGTTATTTCTCTCGAATACCATTCGACGTACTTCAGAATTGCTGATCCGGTGTTTCCACCAGATTCGAGCAATGCTCCGAAGACATCGATGACCGGCCGTTTAGAAAACCCATAATCTGAATCTACACACACCTCTTTCTCACAGGGTGGATGATTTGTCTATGTGGCAGACTTTCCACAGTTTGTATGACGGTGGCGATAAAAGATACCAGTACCGATTAGATGATTTTTTAATCAGTAAAAATACAGTTTGTGGAGGGAACTTGGTGATAACAAGACCTGAGCAATTACAGCTTCCTGAAACAAGTTCACATGTACATACAGGGTTACTCCCCGAATTCATACTCCGTCATCGTATCACTTCAGTCACGCCAGCCGGAACGCTTATCCATGCTTTACAGATGGAACATACTATTTTGGCCATGATGTTTGGCGATGGCAGCTTTGCTTCTTACCCGATTTTCTAACGAATGTAGTAAACAGAACCGTATCGACGTAACACACTACTCACAGGGTTGTTCAAAACTTTATGACAGCCCACGACCGGTTTCGCTTTTCTTGGTGAAGCACATTCAGGACTGTTATAAATTGGAGATTTGGCTGGTTTCGGTGAGGTCTCTAGTCAAAACCAAGTTCTTAAGCAAATGAGGGTATTCGGCGAATTGCGTCCAATGTGAGTCCAATTAGAACATAAGGTTGACTGGATGGAAAATCAGAGGTTGCTTCTACCTGATAAGCCGTAACAGGGGCGAGGGCGGTCATGAGCTGTCGACGCGTTTTCAGCAACTTTACGAGTAGCATGTTGCGTCTAGACAACAATGCACTGTGATATCTCGAATATCATACAGAGTGAAATATGAGGCAGCCTAGTGCAGCCAATTCAGTTGAAGCGGAACATCATAAATGGGAGATCCAGCTGAATTTACTTGAGTCTCCCATCAAAACCAAGTTCGTGTGTAAATGAGAGTATCTGTCGAAAACTGCATCGAGTTTTTAAAAGCAAAAGTAACATTTTCAGCAGGAATACCTTTAGGATGACTCAGTCAAACAAGACCTGTTGGAATATTCACCAGGAGTCAGGCTGCTCTGAAAATCCCACCTTGAAATAAAAATGCACCAGCTTTTCAAGACTGGTCGGCGAGTGCGTTTGCTAATTTTTTTGGGGGGCGACATGGCCCAAATGGTTAGAGCGCGAATTTACTGACCGGAAGGTTCGTGGTTCGAATCCGACCTCCCCCACTCGACTTCCCCTGTCTAGGCTTGGGCAACCTGGCAGTATCCCAGCCCTCGTGCTTCCTTCGGGTGGCATGGCAGCTAGGCACCGAAAGGGGGCTACAGCTGAACGCTTTTTTTACTTTGCTAATTTGAGACACATAAAGCGTCAGAGTACCTTATCCCCGAATCTCAAGGGACGTGTGTATCAGCTACAGTGCCGAGCTGTTTTGTTGTATGACTGTGAGACTTGGCCTATCCGAGCAGCGGAACTGAGACGTCTTTAGGTGTTCGACAATCGTTATCTCAGAACCATAGCTCGTGTGGGTTGGTGTCGGCGATTCCGTAATAAAGCAGTTAGAAAGCGCGTTTTCGGTTGTGCGACGGGTACTTCCATTGAAGAATGTGTCCAGCACCAGAAGCTGCGTTGGTTGGGACATGTGTTGCGTATGCCGAACCATCGTTTGCTGTTTCCCATGCCAAATCCAGAGTGGCTTAAGCAGAGGTGGCCAACCCTTGACTTGGCAGAGAGGTATGAAGGAGATCATGAAACGCTTGGATGCTGTAGGTGCTACTCGCCTTCCAGGATGGGGACCGCATGATCCACACTGCGCCTGGTTGGAGACACTACAAGATATGGCTGCCAACCGATGTCAGTGGCGTTCTTATTGTCAGTTTCTATCCAGATTGCCTGAATGAATGTCTGGAGGCACTAAGTCCCTCCCCCGTCACCTTTACTCTTTTCTTTACAATAAGGCTTTCAAATAAATCATGGTTGTACGTCAGTGAAGTATCGGTGTTGAACAATAATGTCATGCTGTCGATTATGATGATGATGACGGCGAGTGTGCGACCCTCAAGCTGTTGACGAAAATGTCCTGTAGGCGTTCCCTTATGTGCCCAATGGGTGAGTCTTGACCAAGATAAAGAAAACGTCGCATCGCCGAGCTCTACAGGATCCGACCTCATCCGACCTCCGTTTAGATTCCAAATTTCTGACTTGTTAAACAAATATTCAGTCAAGTCAACAATGTTCTGACGAAGTGTAAGGAGATCTGGTAATTGCCAACCAATCTGTGCCGAAAAGATGAGAAGCATAGTACAGTTGTTTCATCCTTATTCGGAATCACCAACAGTGAGAATCTCGCGGACCATCAGAGGGTCTCGGACCTTCCAGCAGCAGCATGACTGGCCCCCACTCAGACGGGACGCAGCAATGACCACCCTTCAAACACAGAAACTACGTCACACTGTTTTGGGAATTTCCTCCTCGACGGAATAGCGTCCGCTTTGGGTTGAAGTGATATTTCTACGTGGAATAACCCCCCGAATACAAGAGCAACTAAAATCCCAAGTTGTTGCACACGACTCTCTTATCAACCATCCCACCGTAAAAGCTTATCGCAAGGCGACAAACTCATAATAAAAGAGGTCATCATTGGCATTTCGTCATTTGATTAGTGAGGGCAAACTGATAAGAAATGCTTCGAACTCTAGCAGCGACTTTATTCCTATCCGGCTCTCCAGTTGTAAACAAGACAAAGCTAGGCAGACAAACTGAGTCCACGTGAAAAATCCACAAGAGCTAGTGAAAAAAAACTGGGCGAAATTGAAGACGGTTGTATTTTGGTCCTCTGTGCCCCCACACCTAAGGTCGTATCAGTAACCTACAAATTGGCAAACTAAAGTAGACAAAATATTAACATAGAACGAATATTGACCACATCAGAGGTCGAAATGGCTCAGTAGTTAAAGGGAGAATTTACTGACCTGAAGGTCCGTAGTCCGAACCCAGCCTCTGTCTCTCGACTTCCCCTGTCTGGGCTTGGACAACCTGGCAGTATCCCAGCTTCCTTCGGGTGGCATGGCAGTTATTCACCGAAAGAGTGCTACAGCCGAACGACATCAGCAAATGGATCCAACAGAGTTTCGAAAATAAGTCACACTACTCATTCACCACTTTTATCGGTGCGTGGCTGTAGCCGAGTTCGAGTGAGAGAGGCTTTCTGAACGTGGATAAACGGATATTTTTTAGAAGCACTACCACACACCTAAAATGTATTATAATCAAGCCATCCATTTGAGAACTAGAAGAGAGGTTGATATCACACAACTCTATGGAGGTTGCGTGACCGCGTGATCATTCCAGTAGGTTATCTATGCGAATGATTTTCCACAAAGGTTCACAGCCTACCGAGGTTATCAGAAATGTGGAAACGTGTCTTTGGCACGTTGAGTTATTGGAACGTCATCATCATCATAAGGGAGAGAGCAAGATCAGAGTTGACACTGATGCCTCACTGCTGTAAAGTGGAGAGAAAATGGTAGATGCATGGATTTGGTGCTAACCTATCGCAAAAATTCTGAGGTGCCTACACTTCCAAGCACGCATTCAGACAATCGGGAAAGAGACTGACAGTACGACTAGCCGCTAGTTCTCGCAGTGTCTCCACCTAAGCGCACCAGGACTCCATCATGGAAGGCACCAATAGCACTTAAATTCTTCGTAGTTTGTACGCGTTCGGCTGAACAGGACGGCGGGGGAGGGAATCGTACAGACTGACAGAGATCGAAGGCAGTAATAATCATAATAATAATCACTCAGCTGTAGCGCCCTTTCGGTGCCTAGCTGCCATGCCACCCGAAAGAAACACGAGGGCTGGGATACTGTCAAGTTGCCCAAGCCTAGAGATGGAAAGTCGAGAGGCAGGGGTCGGGTTCGAAACACGGTCAGTAAATTCGCGCTCTAACCACTTGTCGAGCCATCTCTCCCAGTAGTACGTAAGCAAACTTGATAGTATACTTTCGAGCTAAATAAGAGTCACATTAAGGGTGTTTTTACCTTTAGTAAACCAGCAATCACATCCTACATCCAACAAACGCATTCACTTCCATTTGGGTGCACAGCATGCACTGCTCAACGGCACGGTAAACACAACTGCAGTCGAAACTTGGAACAGATCTCATGAAGAAAAAACATCAAGACAACATATGTTATGCTACAGACGTTGAAGGTGATGCAGTGGAATGGAGCGTGGTGCCCAACTCTTCAAGACAAGTCAGTCATTTGGAACCGCGGTGTACCGCATCTCGTTCGTTCCGAAATACGTTTCAAAAAATGCTCAATCAATGTCCAAACCTACCGATACACGCACGTAGAACCTCCCCAAACAGTCTATCAAGTCCTAACAGTAATTTTCGATTGTGCTGTTGACGGAGCAGTCATTTTTGAAGTGAATAACACAAAAAGTGAAGTTCCTCAAGAGATTAATCTATTCAGGTCTATGCTGTGAGATCGGAAACAATTGACAGTTACTAGTGCTTTATTGATCGACTTGGTTCCATACAATCGATGCAACCAGCACTGTAGTTCATTCCGTTTTATACGAATTGTGACAGACGAGATTGTGCGAAATGAATTCACCCCATGTGTTCAAATCAAACATTGCTAACCTGAAGAGGTTGAACATAAAAGGGCGCCTCCGGACGTAGGGAAGGTCGTTGACGACGCCGAGCAAAAGCCTTGTACAATTCCACGAAATTGGGTCCCGCACGGGCTTGGATGGTAGGCACATCTGTGGTTGTTTCCAGTGGTCGAATTCGCGGGCGATCTGATGCACATTCAGCGGACAAAGCACCGGCAATGGTGATCTCTGCCTCTGCCCAACCCGATGACGGATAAACGCGACGGACACGCAATGAATCCCCACAAGACTCGACCAGGGCACAGGCTCGAAGTGTGGTGAACTCCGGAGGACCAACGTATTCAATCGCTTCGCACAGTTCTCCTGTCATCGGGTCGTGTACATTGGAGACAAGACGCAAATGGCCCCAACACAAACGGACATGATGCATACGGGTTCCTATGCCAAAGTAATGCTGCATCAGCCACCACATGGAAAAAGTGAGAATCCATGGACCACGGTCATCCAGTGCCCGCGCACGCCATAACAATTGTGTGACTAGCCCAACCGGTGGGCGCTGAACCGTGTTCACAACCTGTAGCCGTCGTATCTCATTGTGGACTCTATCAGGAGAATCGATGGACGATGTCTTGGCGGCAGCCAAAACCAGATCCAGAAGATCACGCATTTCAAGTCGAATAGATCGATTCGTCTCACTACCTGATTTATGTGTCTTAATCTGAAGATCCTCGTTGGTGGAAAACAGAGACCGGTCACTGGGGTCTGGATGTAGTGGGTACGATGTAGTGGCCACGGTGTTATTAAACTGGTTTTCTCTCATTGGCTGTGCCTCCGACGTCCTAGTTGCGGCGGAAGTGGAAGAGAGGTTCACGGATGCCAATTGATCGAAGTTTGTGAGCCGGGCTACAAAAACGAGAAAAGATCCATGTCTTGAGCTGCTCACAGTTAAAACTAGTCAGTCAGACCTCTCAATCCATAAAAATGTGGTCAACTGTCTTTACCCACAAACCAGATGGTCGAATTAAAGCCGAAAATTCTACAAACCACCAGAAAAAGAAAACAATGTTACCTGACAATAGAATTACAAACTAGGTGGGGCCGGTTTGTGAACCTCACGCCCGCTATGTTCTAGCTAGATCGATGGTGAGCAAGTGTCGACCGTGCCGCATAAGATTTTACCTTCAATTTTCACCCAGCCATGATCAGCAAAGCAAGAAACAGCTGACCTTAGGTCAGTTCATTGAAACGCGACAATATGTAAATGCGGGTGTTCAACAGTGTCATTGATGGCTACTTCAAGTTTACTGAGGCTCATCAGCGACGTTTAAAACCATTTATTAGTGGATTCTTCATGCGTATAAATATAAACACGTTTATGAGAAATACACTAATTTGCAAATCAATTTGATTTTCACGAGAGACCCAACTGAATCTCTCGTGTCTTCAAAGCGGTATATCTATGAATCTCAAGAGATGTGTGTATCAAACTAAAGTACCAGCTTTCGAGAAATACACTCATTTGTAAATCAATTTGGTTTTCAAGGGAGACTTAATTGAATCTCTCGTTTATGATGTCATCCAACTGAATGTGCTGCACACAGGCCGCCTCATGATTCAGTTGGCACGATATTCGAGATATCGCAGTATAATTTCACACAGGAAACTACTCACAAGGTTGCTGAAAACTCTTCGACGTTTAACCAGAGAGGATACTGTGGACGGAAGAGCTACCAATCGCAGTTCTTCTGACGATCATCACGACACGATGACAAGTGTTGCGGATGGGGGCCGAGATGCCCCAGTGGTCAGAGGGCGAATTTAATGACCGGAAGGTCCATGGTTCGAACCCGACCTCTGCCTCTCAACTTCCTGTGTCTAGGCTTAGGCAACTTCGCAGCATTCCAGCCCTTATGCTTACTTCGGGTGACATGGCAGTTAGGCACCGAAAGGGTGCTACAGCTGAACTTTTTTTAGTTATTGTGGATTCCAGTGCAAACTTGTCTTAGATTTTGGCTAATTCGGCAAGTGTGTGTGTGAGAGAGCATTTCATACTCATTTCTGATAACCCGTCACGACCAGAATGCAAGCACTCAGATGGAAGGCAGATCTATTGACCAATCCGGAATATTCAGTTTTACAGTATCTTCGCGTTGTATGGTTGAATCAAGCGACCAACCAACAGGGAAGGAAAGCCATTTTTAATGCCTCTATCCTGAATGAAGTAGACCGTTACAAGCAAGTGACGACGGATTGACGTAGCGTCCACTCAGAGTCGACTCTTCATCAAATGGGCCTCAAAGTCTGAGACAGCCCGTGATAGCATCCCTTCCTAAAATCCGAGTACAGAACACATCAGCCGATGAAGGTACTCATTCCAATTTTTCATTCTCCATGTCATGAATAATGTTCGGAATCACCTGCGATCGACTGTCGTACGCAGAGGACGAGGGGAATTTAATGTCCGTAAAAAAAACGACCTG